TGCGAACAAATTCTAAATGGAAATTGGCCAGTATGCTTTCTTTCCCATGAATAGAAGAGCAGGCTTACGTGTGTTCTGCACCATCACTGCATTTACTGCAGATAGCGAGTAAATCTTCACGACCAGCATCTCCACAGATATCACAGACTTTTACCTATTCAACAAAAAAAGAAAACCCTTTCACATGAATTTTCCACTGAGCAATGAAGAGCAATATTGCAACAAAAGACAAAGTAGATGTGTTTGCTTATTTCTAAAATGAGACAAAACAGCATTACTTACATCATGTTCCACCATTTCAGAATCATCACTCTCGCTTTCAGACATAGCTGATGAGATTGGCTCATCTGATTTATTGAAGGAAGTGCTTTTACTTGACTTCCCATCCTTCCCGTTCTGGCCTGAAGGTGTAGATCCTTCAACCGAAAATTCCTCTTTGTCTTTATTACCCCCTGGTCCTAATTTTTCCTTGAACTTTCCCCGCTCTGAACTGCTTCTGTCTTCATGGTTGGATGATGGGTTATGCAAATATTGTGATTTCACTTCATTTGGAAGAATATTAGAAGATTCTATCATTGTCGAATCTTGATCTTTCCCAGATCTACCACCCGAAACCAGCGCTGAACCAGCAGCTGAATCCTTATTGACTATCTTGTTATTTGGAGAACCTGAACTTAGTTTTTTTGTTTGATCATCAGATGATATCCCATCTTCCTGGCCCTCTATACGGTTAGAGCTCTGATCTAGCACATTAGCTGATGCAGGCACTTTGTGTTTCATCCTGCTCCCAGAAAAAGATGTCTTCGAAGTCCCTGCAACAGCTCTGGAATCATCGGAAATCCCAGAACATCTTATAGTTTCCTGACTCTCTGCATTCTCAGAGAGAGCATCATGAGTGTAATTAACAAGATTGCTTGCTTCACTAGCAGTGTTATTTGAACTGTTGCGAGCATTAACTAGGGAAGAAGGCAAAAGACCATCCTCGTTTACTGAACCCTGGCTACCAGCTACTCCATGGCAATTTTCATCTGATGACTCATCCAACTTTGATGCTGTGAAACCTGCGTTATGATGCATGCATGATGAACAAGGAGCAGAACAAACATTACAAGTTCCAGACTCCACTTTTGAAAAACCTCTCTGATTCATTGAACGCTTACCAACTCTTCTATCAGCCTGCAGGTAATAATAACATATAAAATGTTAAGGAGAAAGAAGTGATTGACAGGAATAGTCAAGAAAGAAAACAATCATCAAGATCAGCATCATCAAAAAGCAAAATGTACGAAATTTCAAGATACAAAGAATTCTTTTGCCTAAATGGTGAAAAGACGATAACGGCAGCACCCGAGGCAACATTTCTTAGTTGACCAGATAAATTGACCACTGAACATCGAAAATGGAGTTACGTTGTTAGACGTGCCTAGAATGATCCTTATACCATCAATTACTAAGAACAAGCAGCAGCAGCGTGGTCAGTCGTCTAATCTACATATATAAGAGAACATAATGTTCATGAACCACACTACGTGACGACTTTAAATCAAGATCAATGAGTAAATTGGAGATTTAACTCGCCCATATACTATGCATGTCTAGTTTATGGCAGTAGCAATACATGAAGCTATTATATAAGCTGCCAAGCGTGTAACGATACCACGACAAACTCTCAGAAACACCATCATTCGTCATCAAAAGATGTCATTAAGCAATCAAGTGTGCATGACCTCATGATCCCTAAACATGCCACTTCATCACTTGTTCTCATCCAAGAAACAGACAAGGATAACGCAACAAAAGGAAAAGATGGTTTTAGCTAATCTCACCATTTAACATAAATTAATCTTCTTCGACTCACAAACCAATTCCTATGATCCTATCCAGCTCTTCCAACTGTAACAAAGGGACAAACCCCATATTAAAAGACTGCATAACATTCGAGATGATCATCAAGCTGATAAACAACAACAAAAATTCAATTTTAAACCAAAAAATTGGCCCAGAAAACAAAAACTCTAATTTTTAACAATCAATTACCAACAGAGATCATCAATCAACACCCAAACAAAATTCATAATCAATTTCTTCTTAAGAGATCGAACCCATAAAACACGGAATCTTAGAGACAATCAATCTAACGAATATACAATTAAAGAAGAAAAAAAAAATCCCTAAAATTGGGAAATAACATTACATGATTCAGGTCTCAAAAATCATCTCCCTTTGAATTCGCTTCCCCCACAATCTCAATCAGCTAATCACGAAAAACGAAAACCCTAATTCCCCTTTTCCTTCGTTTTTCCCTCTTTCTTTAATTCCTACAAAACCTAGCTTCTCTGTATCCAGATTTGAAAAATGAAAAAATCTCAATCTCTCTCTCTCTCCTTCACTGTTCTAAGATTCAGCGATGGCTAAAGCTAATTATCTTCTGGGTTCTAGCCTTTCCTCGTGATATACAAACAGACACGAGCCAGAGAGAGATGAAAACTGTAGATATATAACTCTCAGGATCTATATACGCACGCATATACGTAGATACATACATATACAATAGTACTATATGTTTTGACGAATATTTATTTGTTGGATTAATCACACACAAGCTGGTTACTGGCTATATTATTACAGGATTACATTATATTACAGATTAAGGTAAAATTACCTTCTATCTTGTCTTTGTTGTGTAAAGAAGGAATTGTCTCCTCCCTTATCCTTTTCTCTCTCTCTCTCTTTTACGTTTGGTGTGATAATGTGATAAACAACCACAATCGAAATAAATAGAGAAATTTTGCATATTAATGTCCGAGTAAATCTCTTAAATTGAAAGCATATTTATTTGGATTTTAAAATAACATTTGTGGACTTTTCATTGCATATATCGAGTTAAAAAAAAAAATACATCTGTGGACTTTATTTGGTCAAAAAGAAAAATATGGACTTGGTTTGGGTCTTTTTATCAAAGAACCTTAAAAACAGAAAAAATGAGAAATATTATATACCACAGTAATTCGATACCCCGGTTCGAAACTGGTCCAATCTGGTTTAGTTTTGAGATTTCTCCGTCTGAGGTCGGTACACGCATTTTCCCGCCAAAAAGAGCGGCAAGAGTTTGCAGGCGCGTTAAAGCCCTAAAAGGTCCAATCTCAATTCCTCCCTCCAGCGACAATCTTCCATGGCTCCCTCCGGCACCGTCGCCGATCCTCTGCCATCTTCAACCACCGATTCATTCAATTCCGGCGCCGCCACAGAGAATGATATTCGGGTTCTCTCTCTATCTATCTCTACCAAATTTTGTGCCGTTCGGAATTTTCAGTTCGAGAAAGAAACCCAAAGTTTGAATTGGACATCATTTTTCGTTCTGAGCTGGTTATGATATCTTTTTCGTTTTCATGGCAGCCATTTTTTGTTCTCCACAAGGCTTCGCCTGGGAATCTCCAGGGGAAATCAACTGGGACGGTGAAAAGCAAACGGAGGATCGATTCACCTACACCTAAAATCGCTAAGAAATCTGAGATCGAAAGCGGGGAAGAGGAAGATGGCCATTTTTTCTCAACGCTACGCTTGAAAGTTTTCCAGACTGTCTGGTCGAAAATGGAGAAGAAAATCGAAGTGGGTCTTAGTCTTTTTCTCTCTGAATTCTGTCCAATGTGTTTGAATCTTTGATTTTGCTTTTCTAAGTGACGTTTGGGTCTTTTTTTTAACACCTTGATCTCTCTGGAATTTTTCAATTGCAGGATGTTCTGAGAAATTCCAACTCCAAAGTGTTCAGTGGGATATATGATTGGATACGGGAATCATTCGAATCGATCATATCATCTGGAGCACTGAGGTTATCGGAGCCAGTTCGGTCTTATCCTGTTTTAACTCAGGCTGCTTCCAAGCTATTGTTTACTGCTTTGGTCCACACCAGTAAGTCCCTAAAGATTAGTGTTTCCTTTGGAATTACTACCAGGTATCTGGTGGTGTGTTCATAGTTTTTACACGCACTGCCCTTATGACTACACTTGATATTGGTCCTAAAAAAAGAAAGCATGTAGTATTTGGATGATGTTTTGATGGGCCACTAAACTTTCATAAACTTTACAGGCAACCAGTTACAATTACTTCGCTTATTCTTATGTGGTAACCTTGTATTGTTGTCAGGGAATCTGGAAATGGTTGATGATTTATTGACATTCGAAGAACTGGTTTTGTACTTGAAGTCGAAAGGATGTCATGTGGCTAAGCTTTCATCTATGGACTTCTCCGCCAAGAATGGCGTAGGAGGTTGCCTTAGAGGTTTGTTACGCCAGTTTGTGATGCCAACCGTAGATGTTAGTAAATCTGAATAGCTTTTGATATCCTTTAGTTTTGTAGCATACTTGCACAATTAGTTTATCCACTGAGTCCTTTTTTTTGTAACACGACTTTTGAACAGGTGGCTGATGTAACCATTCTGGCATCATGGTACAGAGAAAACAAAAACCAAAAGAATCCTGCGGTTATAATTGTGGATGATACAGAGAGATGTTGTGGGACTGTCCTGTCAGATTTAATTCTTATATTGAGGTATTAGCACGTCTTTATGCTTTGTACGTTTACATTGCATCATGTTTATCGGCTCACTGGACTGAAAAAAATTATTTTTCAGAAACGTTGAACTTTTTCTACTTTCACTTTAATCATTATCATATCAAAGTGTGGTGACCTGCTCTTTAATTTTTTTTTTCTATTCAGTGAATGGGCGGTCAAAGTTCCAATTTTTTTAATAATGGGCGTCTCCACAGCACATGATGCGCCTAGAAAGATACTATCAGTGAATGCGCTGCAGAGACTTTGCGCTAGTAGGTTCACTCTGAGTTCTCCGGCTGAACGGATGGATGCAGTTCTTGAGGCTGTTTTTTTAAAGCCGTGTTCTGGGTTCACTGTTAGCCATAAGGTGGCCCTTTTTATGAGAAGTTACTTTTTGTGTCAAGATGGAACACTGACATCGTTTGTCAGAACTCTAAAGGTGTCTAGCTCTATCTTTTATGCTGTATTTGGTTTCAGCTTGTTTCGGATTGCTAACTCTTTGTTGTTCATTTGACTATACATTCTTTTCTCAGATAGCTTGTCTACAGCATTTCTCATTAGAGCCTTTAAGCATTATGCTCGAACACTTTTGTCAAGATGGTATTAATCAGGTATGCTTGATGCACCTGTCTACAACTTCCAATTTTTTTCAACAGACCCTTCAGCTTTTTTAGATATCATATATTTTACTTTGGTATATGTTGGTACTGCCATTCTTATAATTACAAAGAGTTCATATGTACTTCATAAAGAAATGATTTGAGGATCTTTGGTCGTACATTCTGCATCCCTCCATTGGTCATCTACAGTTGTAGACCTTTCTTCCGTAGATGTCTTTCCAAATTACGCATATGATAAAGCACAACTCACCTTTTTCTAAGGCTGTTTTTTCCCGTAAAGTTGTCAGGTGAAGATACTGGACTATTGACAGAAGCAACAATGAAGCATGCTTTTGACTTGCCATCTGTGACGAGGTACCCAGAGAATTCACCCTCTGTTATTATTTTTTTTATTTCCTTGTTTGTATGTTGGAAGAACTGATGGACAGGTTACTGATGTTGGACTTCTATGACATCCTTGTTGGGCTCGTGGATTAATAGGAAATTACATGTACTAATTTCTGCTGATAAACATTTGACTAGGAATAAAATTACTCGGAGTACTTGTGAAATGCTGCCTCAATTTTTGTTGGACTTACAAAGGATGCCAAATCCTTGGAGCATAGTAGTTTTGGTGAGTTGACTCTCTTTTTTTTTACGGTTCATCATCATAGGAAGAGCTACTTCATCCACTTACATGACTTAGGGATGCCATTTGCATGTGAAAAATAGTTTCTCATTTTATTAACGACTAGATAGGAAATGTCGTGGAAAACCCTGTTTTGAAAGATTTAAAACATCCAAGTGGGCATTGAAATGTTCTTCATCTTTCACTTTTCTGTTCTCCATCTGGATGAAGTTTGAATTATATTCCTAAATTGTTTCTTTTCCAATTCTCGATCAAAGGCATTTTTTTTTATTTTTCTCTTAACATAGCTTTTCTGGCGGTTTAGTTGCATTCCTGATGCATATTATGCTTCTGTTTTATAGATTAGAGGAAATATGAGGCAGTTTTGTTCTCATCTGATTAGAGTATTTCTACTTCCTGGATAAATTGATGAGCAGATTCTTTGTATACTTTTTGCAGTGCATATATGAAGCTGGAAAATTTGATAAACTTCGATTGCTAGACATATTCTGTGAAACACTTGACCCAGAAGCACGTTACTTGAAATACTTTTCACCTTCAGCAGTTGTCAGCTGTCAGAGTCACGTTTCAGGGCGTAATAGTGTTATCAGCCGAGTTCTGCATAAGCTCAGGTGAGTTGTGCTATAAGGAGTAAATGTCCCCCTCACACAATAGCAGCCAAGTATTCTTTTAAACTTACAGTCCGCACACTGTTCACATGGCATCTTTGTGTATTTGTGCTGTGTTTTCAAATTTGTGGAACAAGATTTTGGGGGTTAGTTTGGTGAATCATGTCAAGAAGATCAAGTAATAAATATCTCTGTTCTCGAGCCTGAAAAATCTTGGGTCGATGAGAGCTTGTGTTACTATTTCTACAAGGAGCTTGGCTCAAAAGTTCTGAAGCTCTTGAATTCAAAATTTTCAGGGATCTTTCACCTTCAAAGTTGTCTAGCTTGTTGAAAAGTTGGGAAAGTCTCACTGCGGAGTTCAGTGAAGTAATCATTAACTAAAATTTATTAAGCTTTTACCGTTGCACTTGACTGCATATTTTGTCTGTGACTTTTAACTTCATTTGTCCTTAAAAGTTTCTTTCGTTTTCTGGTTGGCATTCTTTCATTTCCTTTTAGCTACTATATCCATTTTCCTAATATCCCTTGTTCGGAGGAAATTTGTCTTGTAATCTGTTTATCTGAAAATTGTTGCTTGAAAATAATAGTGAAAAAGTGAATACTCAGGATCGTTTTGGATAGCTTTCGAGCATTTATGTGATATATGTTTGTCCATTCTCCATTCTAAATACAGTGGTTGTAGATGATCTATTTACTTGTAATTTTGTTCTCTGCTGTTAGATCAATGGCAAAGTAATGGAATTGCATCCATTCATGAGATCCGTGGAAGCAGCTGGTCAGAGACAAGGACTCCCAAACAGCCCAAAGTAAAATCTCTAAATATTGTTGTGTATTCAAAATGTACAACATTTATAAGTTCAGAA